ATTTTCAAAAGCCTCCAAGATTCTAAAGCGATCATTCTTGTGAATTTGTGTCTATCTGTTTCTGCTTTAGTAAATAAATGAATAAACAAATAAACAGCCCTAACAATGTTCTACCAATCCCACTATTATCAATCCATACAAAGCCAGGAATAAAGCTAGAATCCGCACCTTTTCACTAGGGGACGTCCACGTCCAAGTTAATGCAAGGTTCCGGTTCCAATCAGCTGTTCAGTTCACATCGCTTAACATTAATTCACTGCAAACTTTATGATCATGTAAGTGAAACATGGACGGCTACCCTTCGTTAAGGAATCACTACATAGCTCTTGCATTCACACCAGGTTCTGCCCAACAATTTGTTCTTCCATCCTTTTTCTTTTGAGCACATATCACAGCTGGAGATGGTCGAAGATTTTCTGGTAGAGCGCTTTGCTGCAAATTTCTCTAACAATAAGAAAGGACTGCACAAGTCACATATTTTGAGACTTTTACGCCAGGTGAATGCTTTTAATTTCCTTAAGTCCAGATGGAAGTTATGAAAATGGAGTTTTTTCCCTATGCTGGTTGTCAGAACATATCTTTTCTATATTAACAGTCCTGGTTACCAGAAACTTCATTCATTTATATTTCCAGGTTCTGTAAGAGGTGCACGGTTCATTTGTTCAAGAGGTTCATTTTTCTCTTGTTCTCTTCTCATTCATGAGGTACTCGGAAATATACTAGCTAGAGTATAAAGGGAAATGGATTTTCATATAGCTTAGCAATTTTTTTTAACAATTTCATAATCTACCCTAGTCCAGAAACGTATGTTATCTTCCACTAAGATAGTATCTTGGCATTTAGCGGGTTTTTTCCTCAATCACAGCTGATTGAGCATAGCTACCTAGTGCTGATTGGAAATTCTTCTTACTGTCCCCTGGTGAACTGGATGTACTAATTATGGTCGAGTACAACATGAACATCATTGAGAAATGGGATAATTTTTGATTTAGCATATTAGTATCTGCCGTGAAAACTATAGAAAAGCATGTTTGAGACAATATCTATAGCAGCATGTGGCCTGTACTCAGTCCTATTATTTCGAATAGGTCTATAGAAGGTAAAGGAAGCATCCGATTACGATCGCCAGACTAGAAAATACGACTATGTTACTGATTCAAAACTCCCTTTTTTTGTCTGCGTGACCTAGTTTTCGCACATAATGCTGTACCGAGTGATTTACAGTGCATTTTAAATTGTAAATATGATTTTTGAGCAGAACTTCGCATAATCAAAACCTGTACAATCTTCTACTTGAGGCTTGGTGCATATAAATAAATCAGTAAAACCGAAATAACAGACACAACGGTTCTCTTTTCTTTCACAATTGTCACAGAACATCTCCAATTACCGCAGTATTCAGAGGCAGTAACCCAGTATTGCTGGCCTCATAAAATGCGAAGTTATGTCTCCGGCCGTAAAACATTTGCTCCACACAAGAACGAGAAAAAAATCGGTTACGAGCAGAATATTGTGCTGTAGAACCTGTTGGATTATTGGAGTATGAAGACAAGCGTAGTGAAAAAGACGTCTTCTATAGCTATTACCTATCTTACAACATAACTACTAGTACATTTGTTCTCAATTATTTGGGACACAGTTATATCAGTTGTCCGAATACTACGATAAGGTAAACCGAAACCAAACACACCCGACCCGACCATATCGAGTGTGTTCCCATTTTCACTTCACCTATTTCCGTGGCTACTTTTCTCATTTGGCTGTTGACAACGTAATGGTGTGATTTCGTTTCGTAACTGTTCTTACCACTCCTGTAAAGAGTAAAAAAAGACAAAGTTCCAAATTGAAAACGATGCAATCGTCTCGTTTCAAACGTCTCTATGTTTCGCCTCTTCGCTTTGACCTAGAACCTGGAAAATGGCGTCATATCTCAACCAGGCGTCTCGGAAAATTGCTATAAACCTTATAATTGACCCTATTCGCCGTTGTTGACCAATCATCTTTGGATGTTTTAACAAATCATTGAATGTTATATATTTACATGCAGATCTTAGATGTGTAACGATTTGTATATATCTATTTGTCCCCTGCTGTCCGAGGAAGTGTTCCAACTTCGCATTGGTTCGTCCAGAACAATAACTTCTTTACAACGAAGGTGAGACGTTTGAGAAGTTCAAACTACATCGAAAACCTCTTCCCTTCTGTCTCTGATTCACCTTACTTTTTTTCTCAAGCAGAAACCTCTTTCCTTCTTAATTAGCAGAAGTCTTTGGAAGCACTTTTTGTCAGTTATT